CGGTCGGCCCAGCGCGTCGCACAGCGCGAAGGCGTCCACGCCGCTGCTCTCGCCAGGGCCGCTGCCGGGGCTGCTGGCCAGCCCATAGCGCTCCAGCGCTTCAGCCACCAGCTCCCGCGCTGTGGAGCGCGCCGTAGCCAGCACACTCTTATAGTTGGCACCCGACGTCAAGCCCGCGCCAAAGATCTTTAGGACCCCCGGGGGCGCAGTGGCGCGGGACGCCAAAGGGGGTTCCGGGGCCACGCCCGCCGCCAATTCTGGCAGCTTCTTCTCGCTGGCCCAGCGCTGCGCGCCCCCTGGAGTCCCGGGTCCTCCAGCGCCGCCAGATCCGGTGGTCCCGGTCCCCGAACCCCGGAAGAGCTGAGAGATGCGCTTGGCGCGGCTCCCCGAAGCTCCCCCCGCCGCTTTCACCGCGCCCACTCGCCGCAGTTCCACGTGCGGCGGGGGCGGGGGCAGCGGCTCGCTGCTGCGGCTCCCCGTGTCGGAAGACGAAGACCTGGGAGCCACCCGTGAACAGAGACGCAGGAGAGTCACCCAGAAAAGCAAGCAACACGGAGATGGCAGCCGAGAGGGAGAAAGGAAGCATACAAATACAGAGACAGAGACAGAGACCCAGAGAGAGACCCAGAGAGGGAAAGGAGCAGAGAAGGACAGAAAAGACAGAAACCCAGGGACGACCGATATGGGTGGTGGGAAGAGGTCAGAGGAGAGAGAGAGAGTTCAAATAAATAAATAAAGGCGACTCCTGGAAGCCATTTCCAAGAGGTGATCAGGGAGATGAGGAAGGAAGGTGAATCAAACCCAGGGCCTGTGTGGTCCATCCCAGTGCCCTCAGCCCACCTCTCCCCACAATGGGCCCAGATAAGGCAGTATCCAACTTCCTGCTCTCATCCCCCAGGCTCCCTTGCCCATTCAGGACTGAAACCAAAGCCAGGTCTCTCAGGGTCTGTCGCAAGAAGCAATGCATGGAGCTGGGCCCAAAGCAGGGACAGAAGGAAGGCAGGTGGGGCAGGGGCAGGTGTCCCACTTCCATGGCTACTCACTTGACAGAGGCAGCGCTGGGCCAACGCCGCCCCAGCTTGGCCAGCTGCTTCCGGGGGGAATTGATCCACAGGCCCACAGGGAGATGAAGCTTTCCAAAGCGGGGGCTTCCGCCCTCCTTCCTTTCACCAGATAGCATGGCCCTAAGGGAAGGTGGGTAAGACACAAATCCCAAATAGGCTGAATGGTAGGCACGGGGTGTTGGGAACCTAGGAGAGGAATGGGGCCCTGGATCCCAGGCCCAGGAGGACAGATGGCGGCAGAGGAACTCCTAGGTCCCTGGCTCTCACCTTTTGCAGGTCCGGCAGCACCCGGAGGGCCTGGGTCTGTCGGCCTGCCGTTTGGTCCCAATGCCTCTGCTTTTGAAAAGGCTTTGCCTATGTCCCAGCTCCAGGCACTGGGTGGGGGACAGGAAAAGGCAAAAGGAAACCCGGCAGGAAGAGCTGGGAGGGGGCGTCCTGTGAGGAGACCAGGCCTGGGGGAGGAGATCTGAGAGTAGGCCCTGCCTTATTTCTTGATTCTGGAATTATATTACAGTCCGTAGTTCCCCTCCACCAGAACTCATGGGTCCCAGGATCCACACCCTCCTCCCTGAGGCAGGAGCCCATCTCTAGTTCTCGCCTCTCAGGGAACCCCAAGTATGCATCGGTCCAGAGGAGTGAGTCAGATACTTAGACAATAAGACACGTATTTAATTCTTCCCCAAGTCTGAAGCCCTTTTCTTTGGGTGCTTAGAAGCTCTATTGGTTGTCAACGCTGAGCATTTAGGACTTTGATTTAGCTTTCCACGTTCTTCAGTAAAGTCGCCTGAATGAGGTTACAGAATACCAATAATGGAGCAGAGTTAGGTAGGTGGCAGTCTCAGCCCCCACACAAATCTGTCCTTATTCTGGCAATGTCAAAGCCTCACCTTCCTAGGTATGCCTTACCCCCAATGGAAGCCCCACCCACAAAGGAAAACTTGCAGGGGCTCCCTAACGAGCTCCTGTATTGGGCAGTAGGAAACCTAGTCCCTCACCCAAGCCCACTTGTCCTCTATGGATAATTTACCTGACACCCAGGGCTGCTATCAGGGCTATAGAGGAGCAGATCAGTAGCCCAAAGAGAGGGCCCTGCAGCATACTCTTGGCATGTGATGGCTGGGAGGTCTCAGATGATGACTCCAAACCTGCTGAATTTGGGGGTACTGAGGTCTCCTCAAGTGGGGCCATGTCCCTCAGGAGTGGGGCCGTCTCACCCTCAAGCAGGGCTGTCTTACCTTGGGCTGTCTCACCCGGGACAGGGGCTATCACATCCTGGAGTGAGGCTGTCACATTCTGGCCAGGTGGAGCTGTCACATGTTCACCTGGGGCCGTCTCACCTTCACCTGGGGCCGTCTCACCTTCTCCTGGGGCCGCCTCACCTTCTCCTGGGGCCGCCTCACCTTCTCCTGGGGCCGCCTCACCTTCTCCTGGGACCGTCTCACCTTCACCTGGGGCCGTCTCACCTTCACCTGGGGCTGTTTCCCCCTGAAACGGTGTCATCTCACCCTGGACTGGTGAGCCCGTCTCACTGGGCAGTGGGGCCATCTCATCCAGGCCAGATGGGGCCACCTCGCCCTGGACAGTCTCACCCTGGACCGGAGAGGATGTCTCACTTTGGACTGTTGTGCCCATCTCACCTTGGAGTGGGGCCGTCTCACCCTGGACTGTTGGGCCCTTCATAGAATCGAATGTTGTGCCCGACTCACCTTGGAATGAGGCCATCTCACCCTGGACTGTTGGGCCCGTCATAGACTGGACTGTTGTGCCTGGCTCACCTTGTAATGAGGCTGTCTCACCCTGGACTGTTGGACCCATAGTAGCTTGGACTGTTGTGCCCGTCCCACCCTGGACTGATGAGCTCTTCTCAGCCTGGAGTGGGGCCGTCTCAACCTGGAGTGGGGCCGTCTCAGACTGGAATTCTGAGGCTGTCTCACCCCCAGTCTCTAAGTCTGTTGTTGATGTCTCCTCTGTAGAATTTTGGGGCAAAACTGACAGAGGAGGGCAATGAGCTGTCCTGGCAGGAAGTGAAAGCAAGCCCTCCC